GGAAATCCAGGAAGAGACACACATACCATCCTCAGAAGGTATGCTCAGGATGTATCTGTGCAGTATTTGTTGGTTTATTCACAAGGAAAAAGGATAGTCGTCCAGTGAAAAACAATGTGTGGGTCCCTCTTACAACATACTGGGAATTAATTGCATAGATTAGGTAAACTTGCCCTATATTTCTCATAGAAACGTCACTAGAGGAATACAAGTTATTGAAAAGAGCTCTGATATCCAGTCAAAATGACTGTTTGTTGAACCAGCTCTGCTTATAGATTAACTGTGGTTGCAGATCTTGTCCAAGCTATTGGATTTAATGTCAGTTAGACTGATTCCAAGCTTATTTGGAGCTCTATGGTTTTCTGGGTCTTTGCCCTTTTTTAAAAAAAGTTTGCATCATGCTGAAGATTGATGACATCATCCTGCACATGGATAAATCATAACTAGACTCTTAATAGAATGATGTTGGAAATGTAATATGGTGATTTGCCTGTACGGGTTATGGAAGTTTAAGCCATTTAAACATCTCTGGACGAGTCTCAATGGTCACACATTCAAACTAAAACTAACCTTGATGCTGTCAGATTCTTGGCTTATTTTCTAACATGGAAGCAGAGCCTTTGGCATCATTCTCTGTGACACTGATTTTGGTCAGAGAAAAACTCCTTATCTGTAGTAAAAATATGCACAAACTGGGCCAGTCTTGTGACAAGGCTGCCCATCAGCTGTTGCATTCCATCCAGCTCTCTCATTAAGATTATTGACATCCTGATGTTCGTATTGTACTAGGACCGTATCCAGGGTAAGCTTTGGGAAAAAAAATTATAGAGTTGTCTTTTTCAGTGAAAGATGATGTCTGTTACCTTTTGTTGGTGAAAGCACATTGGCTATACATGCATTGATTCTGGTGGAGGTGCAGGTGTTCTCTGAACCTTGTTTTTTGAGAAAAAACAATTTTTATTCTTGCCATGTCCACACTGGATGGATAAATAGCAATATATCACCAGGTGCTGCTAAGATGATGGTGATGATGATGATGATGATTGTAGCATTTATTTGGTACCGGTGTGAGTCAAGCACTAACCATGGAATGTTGCATCCGCAAAACTAGTGTGTATACATATGTGTCATCAATATGTCAGAGGAAATTTTGTAAAGCAGAATGCCAATTTCCCCTCTTATAGTATAATTTTCTGCCTTTGCTGTGTAGGTGTATATATTAATTTGCTTTTTTGTTTATATTTAGTAAAAAAAAAAGATTTTTAAAAGTGAGGTTGTGTCAATTCACCAGAATAACATGTCACAATGTAGAGCATTCTTGCATATAGTAGAAGCTCATTAAAGACTTGTTATACGAATGAAGAAATGAAACCCTGGCATAAGGCCTTTCTTCAGATGCTTTTATTGACCTTCCTTAGTTTTAATGGCATTCATGATTATTATGGTGCTACTCACGGGCAGAGCCTTGGCATCAGTTCCTTCCACTTTTGGCATTCAACTAAATGTTGATAATAGTTATGTTTGATCCGGGTGACTACAGTTAAAAAAGAAAATGTGAGATTCTATATATGACCTTCTCCATGTTTATAAAGTGTCAGGCTCTTAGATTAAAGCTTAAACAAGAATAGTCATGAAAACATTTCTGTACCCCAAAATCCTAACCAGAAAATTTATTTTCTTAAATGCCCCCCTCTGTTCTTCCAACAAAATAGTTCTCTGGCAATTTTGGCATTTTCGTGACAGCTCAAGAATCTTACAGGATGCCTTCACATGAAGTTTACTATAAAGAGTTTAATTAAAGGGAAAGCTCCTGGTAGAGTGTTTCTTATATGCTATTGAATGATTACATTTGGGGGGGGGTAATTAAATTAATGTCACAATTTCTCATTGGTATTTTTGTCACCTTGGGAAAATTTTAAACTTGCTAACGATATTAGTATGTACATTCGATTCTAGCATTGTTGCTGTCATTTCTGAAATGATTACATCCCAATTACTCTTTTTGACTAGCTTTCAACTTAAAGGTTCAAATTTTTTCTTAAACTTTAACAGAATAATTGTTTTGAAAATGAGTTATATGCTTGGTTTATATAGTATTGCATAGTATTTCAATATTTATATATCTTTTGTGGCAACTTGACAAATCAGTCATCACCACAATATACAAGAGGTTTTTATTTACTGAACAATACCCATCTTAAAAAGAAGAAACCGTGCATCTAGGCAAAACATTTCAATTTCAATAAGCAAGTCTTGACTGTGTCGTTTCATCATAAAGTACCCATGCTAATCTGGTTAATATAAATCTTCCTCGTGTTAATTTTTAGTCTAAGTATTGTGAAGAAAGCGACTAATATGGTGACACTCCAACTTATTGATACAATTTAACTTTCATTTCCCTTTCATCGGAGAACTAAATTACTGCTGAAATCTGAATCAAATCTGACCTTTCCTTCCCAGTTGGTAGCACAGTGATAAATATGTGTAACACACACACACACACACACACACACACATACACACTTAGGGCATATGGATTTTGATGGTGATGATGAAAGACAGCATATTTGGTGAGTTGCATTTTGCCTTTCTCCTCTCTACCTTTCTTTCTCATCTCCACATCCTAATTGTTACTGTGTTCAACTCTAAACCAAAGAAATAAGAAACAGCCTGAACATAAAGTCAAATAGCAATTATTTTGCTCACTTGCTTCATAGTATATAGCACTGTTGATTAATTTCCTGTAGCATGATTTACAAACTATTGGCAGCCTTTGCTAACTACTACCCCCAAAATTATTTTTAAAATAGTATTTCCACTAAAAAAAAAACTATAGTAACTTTTATTTTGTACATCTGTATTTAGTCTCTTCATTTTACTTCCATCCTTCAAACTGTAACAGTTGAAATTTGGCCAGAATATTTATTAACCAAATGTTGAAGAAAAGATATTTGTTAAAAATAGTTTGGGTTATTTGCAAAAAGGAAAGAAATTGGAACAGATCAAGATTAAATGGCAGTGGGAGAGTCGGGTTAGTTTTGGCGAACAGAAAGCTGAAGTAGGGTTGATTTCCCGGCACTGCTTTCTCAGCAAAGAGAACAATTTTAATCAGTTACAAAAATATTTGTGATCCATATGTTCCTCTCCGCTCATTCCCATATGCCCATATTCTCTTTTATCTTGGTAGATGATGACTTTATGATTCAGGCATGCAAGAATAATACCTCGCTGACTTTAGAGCTCCGTGCTATTTCAAAACGTGTCCTGGTAATTACGCACACACATACATCCATGCTGTCCCCACTTTGAGTTAGTTATGTGAATATCAGTTTGTTCTTTCTCTCTTCCTGGAAAGAATTATATCCTGCATCCTCCTACTGAGGCTGGAATAATGTATCTAGGACTTACTTTTGAAAATTACATTGCTGTTCACCTGCTGGATTACATGCCACTGTACAAATATGAGGGTCTGAAAGAGAAGTCAGAAGAGTTGCTGCAATTCTCGAGAACTTCATTTAACTTGGAAAAAGGAAAACAGAATCCAGAATGCATTTCATAACCATCTCTGGCATCTATTCTAAGACATATTGGATAAGGATCTTCTTAGTTATAGATTCTAACTTTTAAGACATAACAATTTTTATTTAATATTGATTATTAGCTAGAGTAGCCATGGTGAAACTGATCAAAATTGAAAAATAAAAATTACTATTGATTAGCAATCTAATTTTGTCCTATGCATGTTTAGCTCTCAAAAGCCATATCATATGCAAAAACAAAAGAAACATAGTTTAAAGTCTAATCATCCATCTTAATAACACATGAATAAATCCAGAAACTATTGACTGTACAAGTGATTGCATTTCCAACAGTTGTTTTCCCCTTGAACAACAAATGGCTTTGTAACCCAATATGTTATGAATATAGCCACAGTAAAATCCTATGAGGAACCAGCTGTGCTCATTTAAACTTGGGAGAAGTGGGTAGCAAGGAGGAGGGAGAGAGGGTTTCTAAATTTCAAATTAAATAACTGTGATGCAGTTAGTGTTTTCATAGACAGGTATATGATGGAAGAGGTGTGCATGCTGTTGCATTTAGCTGTTGTACACCAGAGTCGAGTTACAGGGAAAAGGAAGAGATGCAGCCTGATTTTGGCAAATGTTATTAGGAGCCTGTCTCTATGTTTGCATTCAAGCTGTCTTTGCCGCTGCTCCTGTAGGAGTTGTGAGAAAAGGAAAGTGCACATTATAGTGTGGATTGTTTTCAACAGCCTTGAAGTTTGCAAATCTGTTTAATCCCTCTGTCAGTGCTTCTTTGCTGTCAAACAGAATGCCCAGCTGGCGGCGGCAATCCCGATGGGGAGGGCGGGCTGTGGATAGATGGTGTTCACCCTGAAATGAGAATATTAGGAATGCTTCTTCCCAAACTATAAGTGGAGAGAAAAGAGTTTTGTCAGCCATGCCATTATAAAAGTTTTCTTTTTGTTTTTTTTTTTACTTTTGTAGAGAATGTTTCATTAAATCAAAAACTTTCAATTCATTTTATTCAGGTAACTTTCATAAATAAAGAAACCACAAAAACAGCTTTAAATATATAATCTATAATTAAGACAAAGGCTGTGGTTAGGAAAAAAGCAAGACTTTTGCTCATAGGTGATCTTGATTCTCATTGAGGCAAACACACAAGCTTGTTTTTTTTTTTTTTAACACAAAGTGCCAGATTTCACTAAAAAAGGTTAAAATTGAAGTGAGTAATCTTCGGTGCATAATGCAATTGTTAATTTTAGCTCCTTGCGTGGGTGCCGTTCTGACTTGAACAGCCGGCTGTAGCCTTCATTAGAGAAGAAGCAGGCAGCTTGAGACAGGTGGAGCTGGATCAAGCTGTGAACGTGATTTGCTGGAAACTGGTCATTAGTGTTAGAAACCCCGTCTTATTTACTTCATCCTTCACCCTACCATGATTATTGCAAATATTATTATTTACTTTTCATCTTTTTTCAGGTTGACGATGTGTCACACTGTGTAAGGGAATCGCATGGAGATGGGCATTCCGAACTGTTAATGGGGACATGGGACTCCAGTTGTCTCTGATCACTTGTGTGGATTTTCCTGGTGTAGAACGACAGAAGCCGCTAGTAAGTCGCCAAGACCTACAGCAGGAATTCTGCACGAAAGGTAAAGGTCTTGTTGTCTGGCTGTCATCTCATTTATATTTTAGACTTATCATTATATAAATGTGCCTGCTTGCATACAGCAGTTCCCTGAATATAACCATGACACGATCTGTATCAGAGACTCATTTGGCTTGTAGTTTGGAGAATTAGAGCTCAATTTGTTCACTCCATTTTAAATTTGGTCACGGTCTGTTTTTTACTTAAATGCTCTAAAAAATGAGTTAGCCAGAAGTCCCCTGCCTAATGCACTGAGAAACAACCTGTTTGCCAGTGGAAAATGGAACTTTTGATTTTGTTAACCACACAGACGGAGTGTCACTGAAATATAAGAAATCCATCAGAATGCAATGGATGAAATATCCTAAAACCTCCCTAAACCTGAATGCATTGCTTACTAGGCACTTTGCAGATTCAAACTACCGTCCTGTTGGAAAACTTCCTTTTACATTCCCACAATCCTTTGCCGAATAAGCCTGTGTATTTTATAGATATCATTCGATACCATCTGTTTTGTCATGGTAGATTTTAGCAAAATTGCTGTGGTTTAGATTTTTCTCATGCTTCCTATTTTCAGTTGGAAATAAAGTTACTGAATTAGTAAGTGGTTATTGAACACTCTTAAAGAAGCATATTAAAACTCTTATTTGTCCAATAATAATTTTCATTGTAATGACTGGGAATGGGACAGTGATTGCTTGGATTTTTTTTTTGTAAAAGAACTAACTTTCTAAGCTACAGCGTCTCTCTCTCCTTCTCCTTCTGCTTCTTTCTTCTTTTCTCTCTCCTCCTCCTTTCTCCTCCTCCTTCCTCCTTCTCTTCCTTCTTTTTTTTTCTTTCTATTTTTCTCACAGCTTAAAAAAGTGAGGAGGAAGTAAATGCTAATTTATTCATGAGCCTCATTTGACAGCACTTCAGAAGGGGAAGTGTCAGGGTTTTATAAAGGTAGGGAGAAAAAAATAATAACAGATTTTAACTCTGAAAAGCCATTTCCAGTGTCTGTAGTCTATTGTGAGCCTGAGGAAGTAGAGTGTAGTTGCTGTAGCTTCATTAGAGCTGCTTGCCAGACTTCCTTCCACAGGATCCTGTGGCACCAGCAACTGACAGGAGCTTGGGAGCTTGGGAGCATGGGAGAGGACTTATGCTTTTAGAAATGTAGCTGTCAGTTCTGAGCCTGGAAATGTTGACCCTGAAAGGTTTATTGCCAAAATTAGATCCCATATTTATACTGAATTATTACTTCTTCAGTAGATTTTTACCCTTGTAGGCTACTGTATTCCTTATACCTAAGGAAGCATGTCTACGTTTGGAAGCTGCAGATGATTTTTCAGTCATCTTAGATGTGCTGCAGAAAATCAATACCACATCTTGAGTCAGAAGTCAAGGGTCATTTGATCAAAAGTTGGAGAAATATCCTCTTTTGCGGCTTCTTCTACTTTGTATTAGAGAATGGGGGACCAGCAATTGTGTGGGAGTTACGTGCCTCTAAGAGTTGTTGATCCATTTTGATGGCAAGGTGTATTTGCAAGTGTGTGTAGAGGGTGTGTGGATGGGACCACTGCATCTGCCTCTTGTGCATGCCTTGGGTACTTAATTTCATCTTCTTTTTTTCCGACTTTCGTATAAAATTCTCAAAATTGCTCTTTTGGATTTGAATATGAAAGGATAAATGAAATAGTTAAAGAATTATAGTAAATGCTTCACTTTGCACTGGCTTTATTTTCTGATATCTTAACCTTCTAGGGTATAAAATCTTGCTATTTTAATTTGCATCTGGGAGAATGTCTGAGCAAGGAGACCTGAATCAGGGCATAGCAGAGGAAGGAGGGACTGAGCAGGAGACGGGCACTCCAGAGAACGGCGTTGTTAAATCAGAAAGTCTGGATGAAGAGGAGAAACTGGAGCTGCAGGTGAGTGAGCACGAACAGACCCCAATTCTCACACAACTGTGTGTAGCTCCCTTCTTTGATTTTCAGAATACTTTAGAGATTTATTTTTTAAAGAGTTTCACCAGTTGTATCATTAGGAAATTCATAATGCTGGTCTCCTACTTTTTCAATATGTGTCACGTTTTGTACTAACTCAACCACACTCTAAAATATGTGTTGTGGGAAAAAAACAGGAAAGTATTTATTTTCTGAGTTTGCACACAGCATGCCAGTACCAATTTCCAGAACACCTCAAGGTGTACATGGAAGGCTTCTCCCAAGGCAGCTTTAGACTAGCTGAGTTTTAAAAATGAATTTTCTATTTCATGGAAAGATGAAGACTCAGTTCATGGAAAACTAAGGAAAATCAAAGGCAGGTGTTCCTTTGACCTTCCTGGGCGTGCTACGGCTCAAGTCTTGTCAGCAAACAAGCCAAACCCTAGAATTCCCAGCTGAACAAAGAGCACTAGAATGGGGGGAAGAAGACTGGGAGTGATTAAAGGAAGGGAAAAAGCATTGTTAAATACATCATGATTTACAAGGGAAAGAGATTTGGTAGAAGGAAACTAAACTGTACTTACAAATAGCTTGTAAGTATTGATTTTCTTTTACCTAAACTACAGAAGTGTTAACTCTTTATATACTAACAGTTAACAGAGGCAGAATGATGGCCGAAAGCCTTCAAAGATGGCTTTTTTTTTCTTTTCCCCTTTCCAGTAGTTGCTGTAAAGAGAAAAAAGCTAAAGTTAGTCAAAAGTTTTTAAAACCTAGGGAAGGAGGAGTCCTCCATAATGGTTGTGATATCTTGTTGCTGTTATTATGGATTTCTCTACTGCAGCCAGTGGAGACGTTGTTCTCTCTTTCTTTGTCTCTCGGTTGTTGGTTTACTGTTTGTTTTTGTTTGTTTTATTTTCTTTCTAACATACAGAGGCGGCTGGAGGCTCAGAATCAAGAAAGAAGAAAATCCAAGGTAGGATTCTTGAGTTTCTAGGTAGACCCGATATCACAGGTATAAATTGCGTATTTTATATAAGAGTTAAAGGATTTACCAGCAGTTCAGTTGATTGTGTCCAGATATTGTGGGGGATCATGGTTGTACTGGTGCTGTCTGCTTTTGAATTGTTTGTGTTTATGCATGTCTGACTTTCTGGCACTGTGTAATTTTTATTTAGAGGATTTAGTATTTAAATAGCTGCAAATGTATGTATTGGATTCTATTTTCACACTTGGAGATTTGACAGTCATTTACAAAACAAATGGCCACTTGTTTTGTTTTTATTTTAAATAAAATTTGGAGTCTATGTTTTATGCTCACTCCTTGATTTCTGCCTTGAAGTAAATAGATGCTACCGCTTAGTACACTCTTCATCCTTTTAACCATCTTCCCAGTCAAATCTCCTGCGAATTTAGTTTTAGTAGAAATTAATTTTGTTATTTCCTTCCCCCTGATATTTTCATGAAATGACAGCAGTTCATTCTTTATGTGTTCCCAATGTGATGTGCACAATTTGCTAACAGTATTTCTCAAATTTATCTAGTCACATTCTCCTTTACTTTCATCCCCATCAATACAGAGGTATGATGCTTTGAGCCAATGTAGACGGTACTGATTGGCAGCCTTGAAATTTGGTTTTAAAAATCTCATTTGGGAAAGTTATGTGAATGTGGAGACGATTTGACAGGCTGAGAATGTCTCCTGTTTGTTTTCTTTATTTTCTTTCTTCCCCCCCCTCCTAGTCAGGAGCAGGAAAAGGCAAACTGACTCGCAGTCTTGCTGTCTGTGAGGAATCCTCTGCTAGACCAGGAGGTGAAAGTCTTCAGGATCAGGTATATCCCCTTGTCATTATCATTAATTGCATGAATGGGATCCACCTTTGTGTGCATGACTATTAATTTGGTTTTAAACAGTATTTTGGGGGAGAAAAATATAATTGAAGAAAAGAATTCATTTTTTGGCTTCATCCTCTGCTTATGCAACATTCTAAAATAGTTTGATGGTTTGTCACAGAGTATTACGTTTTTTTTTTCCAGACGCTCTGAAAACTGCAAATGGAAAGGAATTCAAAAGAATTTAGATTAAAAGTTAAATAAAAAGTAGGCACAGTAGTGCTGAATTTCCTCAAAGGCTCTCTTTTGATAAGGCTGAACCAAATATAATCCCAAGTATCCTCTCTCCTTCCTTGTTGGAGATGTCTTACCTCTCAGCTCCCCAAAATGCACTTGCCTATAAGAAACACAATCGTTGGTTCATATGAAACTTATGAAATAAGTTTATGAAATGACTTATGAAATAAGTCTAGTGAATAAGGTGCATTGAACTTTGGAGAAATACTTTTATGGCCTTTGGTAGAGATTTCTCAATACTGCAAAAGTTGTCCAGGAATAAATCTGAGCTGATGGTGACTTTAAGCTAATGTTATTAATATATCACTGCATAGTTTACCCTTATTTTTGCTCCTGACATCAAGATTAGTAGGTTGCAAAAATTTAAATTTCAACAAAACTCTTTGGTGACAAAATGGGAAACTTCACATCATACTTATTTTTGCTTGCCTTTTAGGCATCATATTAGCTTTTATAAAAAATGGTCTTGCTGCTGAAATTGTACTTACTTTATCAGAGGCTGAGAGCAGTCAAGACAAAAGTAAAATGGTTTACCTGAGCCCAGGGGAGGGAAAATTGATTAAGATATCATTATTTTTGTTTGATTTGGTTTTGCTTTTCTCTTTTTACTTTAATTGAAATACTCTGAATTCCCCTCACGGAAACAGAGAGCATTGAGAGCACTTTCTTTAAAAGGACCAAAAATAAATTTCTTATAGATTTTGTCCTAAGACTTGTTTTTTTTTTTTTCCTAGCCTCATTTTCTTCACATGCCACTCATGTCATAAGGCATGTACAGGCTATCTTTCAGTGGCCATTATTATGTTTCATACACTTGCTTTATTTTACTTGGGCTCTGAGAAATGTGTGGCTTTCCTTCAGCATTTTATTTGTGCTTCTATTTTTAATGGAGATTGAAAAGGGGGAATAATGGAAATATCATGGCTTATATTATTAAATGTTGATCGATGGCTTGTAATGTGCTGCACACAATATATGTTAGCTTTGCAGAATGACAAACCCTGGGAGAAGGAACACCCCAGTTGTCCCCCACTCCTAATGCCAGGCAGAGAAGGACAGCCTTTATAATCTGCTTTTTGTCCCATTTAACAAGGTACCAGGAGGAAACTTTTTAAGGGACCATCTGTATCATAGTGCCCACCTTGGACCTAAGTCTAGTGTCTCCTCCACACAATTGGTGCAGAGAAATAAGGTGTAAATGGTGCTTTGTTCCTGCTGGTTCCAGGCTCAGAAACCAAGACTAGCTCTGTAGGAAAGAATGAGAGCCTGCAAGCTTCTCTTTGGATTGGCGGGGGAGTGGTGGGGGCAGGGGCCTGATAGAAAATACCCAGACACACATATGAGCAAGTGGCCGTGCTACCTTTTTAGAAAATAAAGAACCAGACTTTTGAGTTTATATGCAATGCCTTCATTAGGTTCCACCGGCACTTACAAAATGTGCGAACTGAATCCCAGAGAACAGTGGCAGAAGTATACAGTATGTGGATTGTATCGCTTCCCCAATGTTTGTAAATTCACAGTATTTGGAAAACTGCCTTCATTTTCCAGTGTGGGAAAAACTCTTGTTACCTGTATTACTTGATCTCAGACCCATACCTGATGGTTCAGTCTGTCCTTAAGTTAAAGGAATTTTGCTTTTCTAATGTTATACTATTGACTTATCAGTGTATTACTGCAACTTGAATCACTCTTCAACTGTCGGATATAAACTTATCCTGTACCAATGTATTTATTAACACTTGTATTTTATTATTGAGCATATCAATAAAAATATTAAAAAATAACAGATTGTTTTTTACCAACTCTATAGCACTTTTGCGTGTTCTTTCAACACTGTAATGTATATGCAAAGAAAAGATGATTTTTTTCCTAACTATAGTATTTGTCAACACATGGCATCAGTTTGTACATTTTTTTGCAGTGGATATTCTTCAGCCTCTGCTCATGCATTTTAATATAAGTCCAAGCCTCTATGATTTTAGATTCATACATACAGAGGCTAGATGTTTCAGTCAGTTTTGAAGAAGTGATGAGATGACTTTCATGGCCCGGGAGCCCTCAGTTTCCCCTGATGGTTAACTGTCAAACTGAATCTTTCCCACCCCAGCCATGCCTTCTGGGCCAGAAGTGCCCCAGTGATTTCTTCGGCAAGTAGAAGGAAATCATACCCCTAGACCTGCCTAAACCTTTGCATATTGAGACATTTCTGTCCCAACTGCAATAAATGACTCTATAATCAGATTGCACTCAGTTTTACATATTTTATATAAGTACATCCCCAGGAAAAACATGTTGAAGTTGGAAAACTCAGCTAAGATATTTAGGGTGAAAGTATGTTTTATTTCATCATTTATATCATGTGACTTTACAATTATAGTGAAACAGGGAGTTCACAATGGAGCCCCTTTCAAAAAAGAGACGTAGCTTTGGAGAACTTTTCTTTATGATTGTTAGACTACCCAGGTTTACAGAGAACCATTAAGAAACCCAAGTTTAAGAGGGTACAAGCATCAGTTTAGTCACATGTAGTGTGAGCATTAGATTAATTTTTAGTGAGCGACATTATTAGTCATTGGGATTATTTTTTCCTACATCATAAATTTTAATGTCACTAGTAGAAGAAAGCTTTCCCATCAAATGATCTCTTACATAAGAATAAGTGGGCTTAATGTTGGTTAATTTGTCATAGTTTTAATCATAGCCTAGGTTTTTCATAAAACTAAAAAACATGATTTGCTTCATTCTTCAAAACAGTGAACATACTATCAATCAAATGCTGATATATGTGAGTTAATACAAAATAATCTGGTTTCAGTACAAAAAAATAAGAATAAAAAAGTGGACCCAGTCCCAATACTGTAAATCAATCTTATATCAAACATCAGTTCAAGAGAATATTATATTTTGGAAAGGACTGATACCAAAATAAATGAATATTAAATATTTATATATTATTTATGAAAAATATAAGTCTGCTTCCTACTTTTCTAAAATACAATGCTTACTGTAACTATACATTATAATGATTTATTAGTGGTGTTTGTAAACAATTATAATAACAGTTTATAGCTAGAGTTCCTGCAATTATATAGTCTGGTTTTTCATAGTAGTAGAAATTATTGTTGACCCAGTGCTAAAATTAAGTTTTGATTGTAAATTGGGTATTAGGGGCTTTCTTTATGTCTGTTTTATTTGTAATTATGCTTCCTGGTATCCATCTGTCTTTGTTTGTACCAATTTCTCCATATAAGGAAATATAAAATAAAACGATAGAAACCTTCTTTTTTTAAAATATAATGGCTATGATGCAAGCTTACTGATAAATAAATTTTTTCTAGGCGTTTAAAAATAAACCTGTAGAAAAAATAAGTGTTGTGATCTGCAGGAATTCAACTTGGTTAAAATTAATATTCATGAAGCAAAGTTTCAGTACTAGATGTTCCTTCTGACCTCCCATTGACTCATGAAGATCAAGTCATTTTAAAGGGCAATTAGTTTTCTGACAGGTTTAATTTTTACCATTTAAGAAAAAAAAATCTGCACCTGGTTTTCATTTTTCTACACTTTATAACCTCTATGCAAAATGGGAACCAGACAGAGATTATTAAACCTGGCCCTAAATTATCATATTTTTTCCCCAACAGGAATCAATTCATTTACAGCTTTCCAGTTTTTCCAGCCTGCAAGAGGAGGATAAATCTAGGAAAGATGAATCTGAAAGAGAAAAAGAAAAGGATAAAAACAAAGATAAAACCTCTGAAAAACCCAAGATCAGAATGTTATCAAAAGGTGAATGTGAAAACGTTTCCTTAACTTACTCAGTGTGGGCACATGCGCAGTCGCAGAACACATCCTAGATTCCACATGCATATTCACCTCCCCCCAAACCCTGCATATAATTCGACACGTGTGTGTACGTGTGTGTGTAAAAAGTGTGAACTTGATTTTCTTTCTTTCTGTTTATGATGTCATTACTTGTGTTGCTAGAGAGGTTATTTTTCAGATCACATATTTCTTTGGATTCACATTTTAATCTTCTGTTATCAATGACAGGCTTGTACAAAGGAATAAATATAAATCCGCCCAGAATTTAGGTTTCTTAGACAGGTTAACTTGGATGGTGAACAGTCATGAGACTGACTGTGATAGCTTAACTTTCATGTTTATCTTAAAGACAGAGAGTGGATTAGCAAGTCTCAGTTAATAAGTGATATGGTCCCAAAGTACACATGTATATGTCAATGGAATAGGTGATTCACATTTTGTCTGGCACAGAATAATTTAGTATTTGCACCCATCTACTTTTACATAATGTTTATTTTTAAAATGTACACTTCTACTTCAATAAATTGCTGTCCAAAAAAAGTCATACGTTTACAAACCGAAAACCTACAATTCTGACAGCCCAAAACAAAGCTAAGTTGAAATGAAGAGTCCCATGAGTAAACAGCCTTGCAGTAGACTTAGAAAAAACATGGGCAGCTGGGAAAGAAGAGTGTCTGGTTAACTGTGGAATGAAAACCACCTCTAACAGTTACGTGTTCTATAACCATATATCAGCTTATAATTGTTGTTTCTGCTGCGGAATATATAAAATCTAAGGTGTATATGACAGTAAAGAAGTTCAGGTTTCTAAAACAGTTTTAGAAATTAAGCTTTGGACAACATTAGGATATTTAAAAGACTTGGGAATATTTAGTGTTCTCCTGTATTTTGTACTAATTAATAGATAATCTCATAACAGAGCATTCTCTTTTTTTGCCTTCTTTGTTTTAAAAGAAAAAGGGTTTCATGGGATCTCAAACTCTTGAGAGCTCTCTCTGTAGGTGGGAGTTCTGTCATGTGGAGTTTGTACCCTTGTTATTTACAGTGCAAAATGAACACATGATATCTGACTCCACCTCCCCCCAACCCCAACACCTAGACTGTGCCCACTTCCCCTCCTATGACATTTGGGTCTTTCCATAGTCAGAATTTATTGGCTGATTTTCATTCTGATATTATATTGCCAGATTTCTAGTTTTGAAACATGTATTTTCATACCAACAGCTTCACCTAAAATTTATCTGAGCAGGAGGGAAATAGGAAAGGTTGGGAAAACCTTTTCCACTCATCTTTCTGCTATCATTTCTGACAATTCTGACCTGCTGTTTGTTTCAGATTGCAGCCAAGAATACACGGATTCTACAGGCATAGACTTACACGAGTTTCTGATTAACACATTAAAGAATAATTCCAGGTAAATTATTAAAGAAGTCTCTTATTTTTAGGATCAAATAGAAGATGACAATCAAAGTTATTAATCCAACACTTCTAAGAAAGCCATTGTAAAATGCAGATACCTTCCCTGACGTCTTAAACTGTCTCCTATATTTTTGTGCTGCTAATGGTTTTCATGTTTACTTTTTAAAGAGAGTCTTAATAACTGGGTAGTTATCTAATTAATAAATTATTTTAATAATTTATTAAATCATTAGAAAACCTCTGCTTTTCTAATCACAAAGAGATACTGACTAAGGGGGAAAAATAAAGAATACAAATTATTGATGTCACATAAGCCAGCTATGTTTTGATGTAGCTATGTATTTATTTACAGTCAGTTCTTGGCCTTTGTTTTGTGCCAGTTTCCTATTAATTTGAAATATACTATTTATTTGATATGTTTTATGATCCTAGTACCTTGCATGCCATAATTAATTTTAAGACTATAAAATTTAGATATTTCAAAATATTTAACAGTTAAGATTAGGATTATCCCTTATCTCTTAAGTATTTTGAAATATCTAAATAATCTTAAATATAATGATATATGTAAATGTATGTAAATGGTCAGCATAATCAAAAGAAGAGTTAGATACAGGTTTGTAGCGGCATACATTGAAGTAATCCTTTCCATACATTTAATGAATTCATTAGGTCTTTGGACATGGAGCATATCTAAAACCTTTTAAATGTAACATTTATTTTGCAGGGACAGGATGATACTTTTGAAAATGGAGCAGGAAATTATTGATTTCATTGCTGACAACAAGTATGTTAAACTGCCATGCTGGTTCATTTGATGATGGATCCTAGTTTGGTGTTTGAGTTAAATTATCCGTTCTGGAAAGATTTAGGGAGAGATAAAACGTTGTTTAATGCGTTCCGTGATTTGTTAAATGGGGAAATTATTGGAGTTTGGAACTATATGCTGATGAGAATTGTTGCTTGGACCATGTGTGCTTCTGCTTGTTAAATTCCTGACAAAATGACTATAAACAGGGGGCCACTGATTAGCATAGAGTAGCTGTAACAAGAAGCGACCCTTTTCATTTTTATTATAGTTTTTTAATGGGCTCCAGCTGGCTGCAGTCAGTTATGCCTGAAAATAATGGTGCTGCTTTCAGTGTAAACTGTGTAATGACACATCTCCATATAGACGTCTGCAATCACATGTTATGTCACATCATTTGTCCTGTGCCTGGCCCCACTGACAAGGTAGCATGGACTAAAATACAATACTGTCCCATAGACATTACCTTCTCTTTGGCAAGAGAAATGTGCAACTATGAAACAAAGAGGCTTATTGTAGCTTAATCAATAAATCTATAATAAGTAGAAAATTTGTCTGGAAATTCGGACATTAAGAGATACCAGAACTGGGCTCTGTTTGGGAGGGGCCAAGAGAGGGACAATGGGGGGGTGGAGAGGTCAGGGAGGGATGACATGGGGAGAAAAGCCAGATGTAGGTGAGGGGGGATGGAGGCAGCAAACCACATTGCCATGTGTGTACCTATTGCAACAATACTGCATGATCTGCACATGTACCACAGAACCTAAAGTACAGTTAGAAAAAAAGAGAGAGAGAGAGAGAGAGATGCCAGAAATGTAATAGGCTTAGTGGTTTAGATGAAAGGGAAATAGTGTTGTGTGTATACTTGTAAAATGTATTATGGGCAAAAAATGAAAATGCTGATTCCACTTTTTCTCACATTATGTTCCAGTAATCATTATAAAAAGTTCCCTCAGATGTCATCATATCAGAGGATGCTTGTCCATCGAGTGGCCGCTTATTTTGGATTGGATCACAATGTGGATCAAACAGGAAAATCTGTTATCATCAACAAGACCAGCAGCACCAGAATGTAAGCCCCATCACTGTACTTATTTAGCGTTTTCTGTTTCTCCTATGGATTCATTTATAAGATCACAGTATAAAATTCACAGTGTTTTAAAATGTGCAGTGTTATTTATCTCTTGCTCTTATCAGAAGTAGTGTGGCATTTATCTGTAGAAGATTATCTGAGAACCAACAAAGTTTATACAATTCAGGCAATAAAGTGGATTTATTTCCTGCTCTTTTACATAGCTTCTGAAACATAATTTTCTTTCTTCCATCAGTACTCTATGAAATTACATACAAAGCTGTGAAAAATTTTACGTCAAAATATAACTTAAATTAAAAACAACAGATATTTTTAAACAACCATGACATACACGGAATAATTGTTATTTTCTTTCTTCTGCTTTTTCGACATCTATCTTACTGTGGTTTCTGGAGTGATAAAAAGCTCTGAACCTAGAGGCAGAAATCCTGCTTCTAAAACCCAATTCTACTTACGAGTTGTGTGACTTGCAGCAAGTCATTTAAAATCTGCCATCTCAGTTTTGTCACCTGTAAAATGAAAGTCTTGAGCTAGATGAAATATCTAAGACTTAGCTCTAAAAAGAGGATGACAAGTTTTTTCTCCTTAAAATAATTGTTTGTTTTTATCTTAATACCTGTTCCTTGTTTCACTGAATCACCAAAAGCATAACATGAGTAGTCATTTGCTTTGAAGCTTGGTGCTGTTTTTCTTGAACCCATGTATCTTTTGAGTACAGTACAAACCACTTCTATAACAAAAGGCATATTAAGCTAAAAAACTGCCCACATAAAGCATCCACTTTTGTAATTTTCTTTTTCACTGTGTCCTTGATACACTGTAAATTGCATGGTCTTTAGGGATGTTAGTGAAGGGAGCTTTTGTGTCAAGCAGAGTATCTTAGTTAAAATACTCTGTATTTTCTTCTCACCAGAGGTTGGGACAAGTGGGAATGGAGATGAGACTCTTTCTCAACCCAAGCATCAGTCTGTGCTCAGCAGAGGTCAGGGGAAAGTCATAGTGAAGAGAGCACAAACTGGGAGATCTGGGGCCAAGCATGGCTATTATTAATATCTCCAATGAGCACTCTACTTCTGTGGGCTTCAGATACTTCAGTATCTGCAGGATGGTTTGAACTGAATCATGTTGAAGGACCCTTGAAGTCTCAGAATCATTCAGTCCTGTAGTTGCATTCTACTGTGTTAGCACAATACATTTAAAAAATGTATCAGCTTTATCTGATTGTTGACAAATGTGCCTCATATTTGAATAGCAGTAAACATTATGGTAACTTTTAAAGTCCTTTATGCCTTCCCTCTCCATCCAGTACTCTTTGCTGTTGTTATAGTTGTATTGTTGTGGTTTTTCCTTATTCATTGTTTTTTTAATGGCTTTTAGATATAATGCAGGGACATGCTGATTTCAAAATAGAGAAGCAGTTGACTACTTCCTTTTATTTTTTTCTCTTTGTCTGCAAGGTCATAGCGAACATGGAAAACCTCCATAGTTCAAGTATATTAAATGTGATACAGTTTCAACTGGTCGATAGTAGATTTATTTTTAATTCACACTGATTTTGCAATCACATAGTCATAAATACTAATACATATGTTTTAGACATGTTTCCTTGGAGAATGGCTTTGAGAAAATTAAGCATTATATCAAGACTCTTAGAAACTTTGAGTGCTGGCTCTAAACCTGAACTGCCCAATAGGTAGCCAAATATGGTTATTTACATTTCAATTTACATTTATTAAGTTTATATAAAATTTAAACTTTAAAATTCAGTCTCTCTACCAGGTCAGCCACATTTCAAGTGGCTATTGGATAGAGCAGATACGGAACACTCATAGGATTTTAGAACTTTCTATTTATCAGCTCTTCTTTAAATCCTTGTGTTTCCTACAAGCTCCCAAGTACCAGTGGAGAACATAATTTGTCCTTTAAAACTTTTATTTTCTAGCTAGTAGGTATCATGTTACTAGAATTTTTCAGTTCTAGAAGAGTGCCAGCTTTTTTTTTTTTTTTTTTAATCAATGGCCATTTAAAAATGGACGCCACATGTTTATGTCTTTAGAAAGAGTTAAAAGTAAGTGTGGCCGGGCGTGGTGGCTCAAGCCTGTAATCCCAGCACTTTGGGAGGCCAAGGCGGGTGGATCACGAGGTCAAGAGATCGAGACCATCCTGGTCAACATGGTGAAACCGCGTCTCTACTAAAAATACAAAAAATTAGCTGGGAATGGTGGCACCTGCCTGTAATCCCAGCTACTCAGGAAGCTGAGGCAGGAGAATTGCCTGAACCCAGGAGGTGGAGGTTGCGGTGAGCCGAGATCCCACCATTGCACTCCAGCCTGGGTAACAAGAGCGAAACTCCGTCTCAAAAAAAAAAAAAAAAAAAAAAAGTAAGTGTGTGCAGAGAACACCTCTTGAAGGTACGGTTAAACAGGAAGACCAGGGCTCAGTCTAACCCTCATTCTTACATACAGCACTTCAGGCACCACTGTGTAAGTCAAAGCAAATCATGCCTAAATAAAAAAGATAAATAACTGTATGTCATGGACGTTCAAGGTATTTACTGAAGTGTTGTGCTTCAGTTGAACAACATTTAATTCACAGCTGTCGAGTTCTACTATTCTATTCTAACTACATTTCTGACCATCCTCTATGTGAGTGGCTCTTTTTTTTTCCTTTTTTATTACATTTTAGGTTTGGGGGCACGTGGGCAGAACGTGCAACATAGTTGCATAGGTACACACGTGGCAGTTGAGGAGTAGTGGTAATTCATCCTCTATTTGAGTAGTTCTGGGGGGGGGGGGTGGATAACTGATGTGTTTTAGCACAAAAAACGAGGATGAATTAAGTGTCTTTATCCAAATAGGGACAAATCACAGTTTCAGAACCTGAATCGTTGTTGGCAATTTGAGTGAAAAGAAGTGTTTCTTTGTGGAAAATTATGTTTGATTTTAAGTCTGTTGCTATGCTCTTTGTTGTTGAAGTTCAAAATGGGGCATTATATCCAAAACATTCTATTCAGGTTGTAGGTGTCTTGGTTTTTTTTGATTTTGTAAAAAATTTCAGATTTGTCTTATCAGGGCAATCAACATGTGTTGGTCACAGGAATCGCATTAACTTAAAAATATTTCTGGATTGAACTGTCTCCATTTATTTGAAGGCGAGAATACTGAGATGACAGTTCCATGTGAGTTTTGAGTTTGGGGAATACTTTTTCAAGGTATACCCTTTTATGCTACTCCAATGCAAATACATAAAGTGTATATTTCAGTGGCACTGTAGCTTGAGAAAAATGCAGAAAAATGTGGCTGAAGAATGCAGAAAAATGTGGATTGTGGGTTTTTTTGTTAACTGAAAGGTTAAAACGAGGGAAAAAAAATCTCCTTTTATATTTTCCTTCTTCCTGACACTTTACTACTCCTCTGGCGTCAATGTTTAAGTAATTGTAACTCTTTCAGCTCTGTATTGGCTAGAATTTATTTCCCAGAATCCTGATTGTCTAGATGATAGGCAGTTTAAGTAATTATAGAATGTGACTGGAGAAGATTAGGTTTTTCATGGAGAAGAAAGAGTTTCACATGAAGTTCAAAATATCTAGGTCATAACAATACACTGTGAGGATTACATGTGTGTGTGTGTACTGCACTGACCTCTAGTATTTTCAATAATATATCCAGATATAACCCATCTGCTCTTTTATGATGAAAAGAACTTGTCTCAGGATATACTTCTGTTTGTTAAATATCATCTATTACTTATAATAACATTGCCTACTGCTTATTAATTTCTCTAAGCAGTTTACCTCTTATAACAATATACATTTATTACCTGAGGTAAATATATATTGTTACATTTAATACAAAAAATATATTGTTTACAATACCCCATGTAAATATATATTGTTACATTTAATATGAAAAACACCTAAAATATAAGTAATTAAAGCTTCATTTTGCAGAAGAAGAAAATGAGGCACAAACTGTGTTTCTGTTTGAGGCTTACAGAGAAGCAATGGTTAGCATGACTGGGATCTAAACTTCATGTAAGTGTGTATTATTACATTTAATACCAAAAAAAAAAAAACACTTACAATATGAATAGTTAAATCTTCATGTTGCAGATGAAAAAATGAGGCACAAACTGAGTTTCAGTTTGGGGCTTACATAGAAGCAATGGTTAGCATGACTGGGACCTAAACCAATGTGTCTAATATCATAAAGATTTTTTAAATAATCTAATTCTCTTAAAGCAAAAATACCCAGAAAATACTGAGTATTCAAGCAGAGTCTCCAGATTGGTTGATGATTTCAATCCTTTTAAGTCCTTTGTTGTCTGATAAGGCAACAGTGATTGATGGACAAGATATTTTTGAAGATTAACTCAGTGACATCATTAAGTAACAGAATCTTCCTACAATTTGATAGGTCTTGCTAGATTTGTTGTGCTTATTACTGCCACAAGGTGATTTTTTTGAAAGAATATATATATATATATAATTTTATACATATAAAATTTAAGCTTTACTCTATTTTACTATTTTTTCTAAGAATGAAAAAGCCATATTTATTAATTATGTTAGTGTAGGAGATGAACTTATTTATTGTTTAATTGCAAAATTACTACAACAAGCAATCTGATTGTTCAGTTTTCATGGTTTTGTGTCACATCTACAAGGGCATCAAGTGCGGTTAAGAAACAGTGAGACAAGATGGAAAGGTAATTGAAGTAAAGTCAACTCTCTAGAGACTTTACATTAATATATTCCAGGTTTCTATAAATTACCTGACAAAAGCAGAGATGTTATGTTTTTGCAGTCATAAAATATACACAGAAAAAACTTACCGGATACTTAAAATATATTTTTAGCAACTACAACTCAGCAACAAATATATATCCAGCACCAAGACTTCAGTGTCTGTGGTCACACAAAAAATTACAAGATAGGATTCTTATCCTCAAATGTTTTACACTATGCCTATAGATAGGTG